TAATAAGGGTCGACAGGTACAAACTTTACCTGCCTGAAACTCCTGAAAGATAAACTAAGTACACTAAGACGAACCACTCCTGAAAGTTAGTTATATCTTAGACAGATAGAACATGTTTGAACCTGTTTGGATATCTGAAGATTTCAGCTTTTGTGACTTTTCAGCTCTGAAAGTTCCCTGTCAACTACAAGCTTCCTTTGTTCTGCGATGAAATGGGATTACTTCTGGCTCTTCTTATGTTTTGAACGAAAAGATAAGTTAGGGTTTTGTTATTCATACAATCTTTCTGTTAAAACAATTTCTAATTCAGACATACTTAGCACTATTGTTCAGTTGTTACCATTGTGACTACTGGTTATGAGATTAATAGTTCGATCTCAGGGTGCAATTAATTAAATTAAGATTTTAATAGTGAAACGCTGAATATTAACATGATTTCATAAGACTATGACGTGTGTAGATGCAGAGTTTGGAAAGTTGCATCATAATATTTAGCAATAAGTGTATATGCTTGACGTCTATAACTAATAACCTTCGATTAACTAGAACGACAGTTGCTTGAACCTAAGAACGTAATATAAATAGCGAAAACAAGCCCAATTCCCTTCCAGTCATCGTCATCATCAACAGCCTACTAGTGCACACTGCTGAGCAAAGCCTCTTCTCACACGGAGACGATTTGAGCATTAATCACCACGCTTGCTCAATGCGGGTTGGCGATTTCAAACGTATAATTAGAAATTATAAGTCCAGGTTTCCTCACGATGTTTTCCTTCACCGTGTGTCAGTGGTGTCTAGATCTTTAGAAAGTACCTCTACATATAACTCGGAAAAAGTCAGAAGTGGGTGAGAAGAAGGTGTCTTAAACCTCCGGACCACCACGACATCCTTCCAGTACCTAAATGTTTTATGAACTGTGATGACATAACGTTTATCCAACCCAGTTTATACAAATTAACATTATCCTATATAAATACATAATTTAATTAGCATTTATGAGCCCATGTGAGTGGGTGGATCTAAATCCGTCGCAGACCACGGTCAGGCTAAACTTTGTTAGCGCTCCGGAGTTTGAACCACAAAACAAAAAGTTCGGGATTAAATTGCAATTAAAATCCCTGATTCGGAATTAATTTGTCTGAAAAATTCGAGCGGATGAAAGCGACGTGTATGACCACATATCAGTCTGAATTATAAATCCTACTAACTATTTTTATACTCAGTTTTATGTTTTTTCACAACTAATCTTTCTGATACTTTCTGTTTATTGTAGTTCAGAAACAGGAGAACTGAGAAGGCCATAAGCGAATTCACTTAGATAAAACTATAAGTCAGTATTTCTAAAAGGATAATAGCGACTTATGTAGATACATACTAATGATAAATAATTTATTTTCGAACTCGAAACTTATAAGGCAATTGACAGCATGGTTGGCGCGATGGCTGCGCAATTGGCTGCTGCGCAACGTACAGCGGGTTCGATTCCCGCACGGAGCAACTTTTTGTGTCATCCATAAATTGTTGTTTCGGGTCTGGGTGTCACGTGTATGAGAACTTGTAATTTGCATGTTTGTAAACGCACCCACGACACATGACACCCTTGTGTGAGGCAAAGTTTTTTTTTTAAATGCACATATTAAAAACCTCTACTTTTAACCAGTTACGTCATAACTTTCATATATCTAACAAAGAACAAGTCTGATTGCATATTACCTTTCATTCGATACAATTTCGACTAGCAATTTCTATTAAAATAGTGCTAACTCACATAAAATGTCGAATAAGAATAAGTATTATAGATGTCATTGTAATTCGTTTGACCTAACTAGATGACCGATGAACCGATCGATAGATCTGCCCTGGCTCCGTACTGCCACTGTAATGATATATTCATGTAGTGCGGTGTGCCACATTAAAATTACAGCGTCCTTCGATACTGATCGATGTAGTTGGTGCAAGTGACACCGTACGCTATGTTTGATACTTAGTAGGTCGTCATTATATAGGTCTATGCAATTTCTTGTATTGTTTTTGAAAGATTTGTCTGTTGTTTGATAACCATAATCTATCAGTTTGCTTAATGAATGATTACAGACTCTTTCAGATTCTGATTTCATTTAGTATTTCTAATTCCAAAGTCGTTAAGTTATTGTAATTCAACTGATTAGGCATGTTTTTTATCAGTGGACGTTTTGTAAATGGTGTTATGTTAATTTAATTACGTATGACGAAACTCAATAGTTTTTTGGGTGGACCAATCTGTGAGTGATATCGCGTTTTTACGTAAGAATTGTAAATACCTATATAATAGGGTAGATGCCTAATTTTTATTTTAATGTCCGTCTGTTAGATTATTTTAAATCATTAGACACGTATTTTTTATTTTCTTACTGAAACAAATATGTCCGACGATATATTGATTTGAAATGTCGCGTGACGTCACTTCTATGTACATTTTATACGTAGAAATGACGTTTTAGCCCCCACTCCTAAACTTTGATTCGTTTTATATAAGTATTGTATTATTATACGACAAAATAAAAAAATACGTGTCTAATATTGTTTCATTACCTAACTTATGGACTAATTAGATTTTTAATTTACATACCCTGTCATCATCCCAATTATACACCATAAAAAATAAAAAATGAGAAGATATATTATTGCCTTCAACCCGGAAAGTAAAGCACCCCTCTTTGTTTTGTCTTGTTAGCCACACATACACATTCTTATCTACCTATTTAATTATTTACCAATCGCTAACGTGACAAAGATTCCTCTTCTGTTGAGCGTAACTTTATACGTCCATTAGTGGGTAACTCTGGAACCTGTTTATTCAGTCTATTGTAGTCCAATAAATAGGCCCTCTATACATGGGCCAAAAGGGCCTATTATGTCCCTTAGCGCCCCCTACCGGCAGACCCATTGTCTCGTGTCTTCACGATGTAATTGTTGACGTGTACGAAAAAACTAGTTATTTAAATGAATTATTGAAAAAGTGTTGAAAGTAATTTACACAATTTGTTACACTTGAATTTAAAAGTGGTTGTTACCTTGTAGTTTGCATCGATTTGTATTGAATTTCATACAAATATGTACCAATGTAGTTTTGTATTGCTGGCTGTCTCAGATTTCATTACTGAGTCTTGCAATATACTACTGAAGTTGCTGTACATTTTCGATAGTTTCTCAGTAGTAGCACGGAGTCCGTGACTAGACCCACCCTCTATTACATGGGACTCACTCAACTAGTGAAAATTGAGTGTTGTTACTGAGTCTTGCAATATACTACTGAAATTGCTGTACATTTTCGATAGTTTCTCAGTAGTAGCACGGAGTCCGTGACTAGACCCACCCTCTATTACATGGGACTCACTCAACTGGTGAAAATTGAGTGTTGTTATTGTATTTACACCACTGTCTAACATTTAAGCATTAAGTAGGTTTAACCTCGGTTGGCCATCAAGTTAAAGAAGTAGTTCTAAACTCTTATATTTGTCGCGGAGAACCTAACGGGTAACCGGGGCTCCGGCTCGACGTGCAGGAGAAGGAACGGGGTGGTTTTTAGTCAGTAAGAGTCTGACACTCCCTCCCGCCTCACCCAGGCGGGAGCAGTCATTCGATGATTTTCCCCCCCTTAAAAAAAAAACTCTTATATTTAAACATGCATGTTTGTGGGTATGTGTATATTTTTTTACTTAATCAGTCAAAACAGCTAAAGGGATCGAGATCAAATTTTAAACGAGGATAGACAATGGTCTGAAATAACACATAGGCTAGTTTTAAGCCGCTAGCACAAGCTAGATTTTCCAATAAAAAAGACAGCTCCACTTCTAGATTCCAGTCACATCTCAAATATTTAAATCATTGGCATCGCAATCAAATTAAAGGTACAAAGTAGGACGAAGCAGGGTCTCCCGAAATCTAGGTTACAAGGCTGACTGTGAATCTAGGTCATTCTAGGATGCCTCAGTATTTGGGGCGTGTCAGTGCAAGAGACGTGTATTGTGACGTCACGAAGGTCACTGACCGCGATGAGGTTATGAATATTGTTTAATTCTCTTGTTTATATTAGGTAATTTTATTGTTTTAATGAAATTGTCTTGTTTATTTAGTTTTCGAGGTTATGTTGTTAAATCATCAATCATAATCACGCTTTTTATCCCCGTGGGGTAGGCAGAGGTGCACATTACAGCACTTAATGCCACTGTACAATGTAACACCCACTTTTCAATATTTATGTTATGAGTCCCATATAATAGGGGGTGAGCCTATTGCCATATACCGGACACACTTTCAAACTCCGTGCTACTATTGAGATTTTTAGTATTTTAGTAAACAATTAAAGCATTTCTATAAAATAATATTATGGGTTTTATATGATAGATAATTTTAACAGTTATCATAATAGGAGTCGAACCTATTAGATATATAACATAACATAACATCACGCCTTTTATCCCCGAAGGGGAAGGCAGCGGTGCACATTATGCCACTGTACAATGTAACACCCACTTTTCCCTACTTATGTTATGAGTCCCATGTCATAAGGGGTGAGCCTACTGTCATATACATACCGGGCACAATTCCAGACTCCGTGCTACTACTGAGAATTTATTAAAAACCCAGTAATATTCTACCCGATCCGGTAATCGAACCCGAGTCGCACTTGCAATCACTCGGCCAACGAGGCAGTCAGATTAGATAGGTATATAAAAAAACTATTTATGTTTCAGTCATTTCGGGGATCGAACCCCGATATTCATGGTCGACTGTCATACTTGAACATTAATATTTTTATTTGGATAGACAAAATTAACGCAAATAGGTAAAAACAGACGAATCCATTAAACAATAATAGTTCAGAGACAATTTAATAGTCTCCTAATTATTTCTAGCAAAAAATAAACATGCAAACTTGCAATTAAAATTAATTAAGAGGTGAGAAATCAAAGAAAAATGCCATTAAGTATTAAAACTTTAAATTTTATTAATCCTAATTTATGAGTAGTGTTTCATACTCTACTCCGTGCGTCACGGCGCGCGGCGTCTCGAAAAAAACTAGTTGCCACCGATATTAATTAAACACTAATGCATGGCAATGCCACCAATGACGTCACCTTACTATTAAAATTTACACCATTGAGATCAACAGACATATAACTATACAATTTTAATATCTTAAACGTATTACATAAATATATAGTATCACATTTACTTTGGTAAACATATTGAACGTGTCCAATTTTGTGCAAGTGACAATATTTTGTTATTTCGTGTTGTTTACTTCGGACGGGTCTAAAATTAGATATCAGTAACATGAAATGAAATTCTATAATCCGAATGTTTACAGGAATGGTAAATAGTCCAATTAATACATTATTAAAATTTCGATTCGAAGAATTGTAATTCAAAAAATACTCTTGGACCGGACTATGTCTTCAAACGACTCATTAATGTCTAGAGTCTATTAAGACGTCAAAATCAAAATGAAATCGAGTATACATTCGAATACAAACACTGAGCATAAACTGAAACACAACTAAAATCAAAAGTCATGAATAGTTTGTTCGTATCGTGATAAATATTGACACTGAAACCAATTTACAAAGAGAAACATCCAACTCTATGAAATATTACGTTATACTAAACTATTTATTTACAAAACTGTAATTAAACTTGTCAAAGTGAGTATTCCATCATTTTATAGTTTATATTACTAGCAAAATTGAAACTAATCAAAATGTATTACATTCCTGTGGTTTCTACCGACCTCTACTGTGACTTTAGTGTATTAATTTTCCAAAATATTGTTCGCTCTGATAACTAATATTATAAATTAATTGAAATCATGACAAGGCCAAGTCAAAGAAAGTCGAAACAAGATAACTTCAAGCACTTCGTCAAAAGTTTTATTTTCTTTTGTACAAGTTAATTCGTGGATCAACGGATATTACGTAAAAGACTGCCTTCGCATTTTGGGATTCCAAGCCTTAACACAAAGTGGACTAGGTAAACGAATTCAACAACAATACTGTACAGTGTACACACAGCCTTGACAGGCAGCATCAAAGAAACATGAAAGGAAATCGTTATCATACTCATGTCAAGAGCTCTCCTGACAACAAAAATAATGTAATTTTACAAAATTGAAAACTCTCGCAATACTTCAACATTTTCTGCTTTAAATCATTTCGTTATAACTGTGAAGTGCTTTAAGGAAAATATTTCAACAAAATCATCGCAAGGAAAATATGTCCCACTGAGCGGCCACTAATAACGACTTTCAGTAAAAGCCAATTGCGTCAATCAATTGGTAATTTCAAAAGGAATAATTTCAATTCATAATTTTAAAACACGTAACAGGACGTTCAGAGTAAAAGTCGGTAGAATTTCATAAAACGACTTAGCAATAATCCTTATGTTCTACAACATAGCTTAGAGTTGCCAGATTACTATATATAAATACATAGTAGGTATACACAAGAAGGAAGTCCCCTAGATACGAATACATTATCAATTCATCGTCCTCGCTTATCAAAACTGAATAATTTCGCTACATCGATCACGCACCGAGTATCACACACGCTTCCAAATCCGAAATGGAACGCTTTCATAGCGAGCGCAACTAAACTCAAATTATATTGTAAGCCAGTGTCCATCGCGCTCACTTCATAACGTGCTCACTAGCTCGATGCTCTCATTGATCATGTTCTGCGTCCGCTCGTCCTCATCCAGGTGTTCCATGTCATCCAGCTCGGCCAGGCGGTCAGCCTCTGTGTCATCAAGCAGTGTGTACTCCGTGCGGATGCTGCTGCTGTCCTCGCTGTCATTCACGTTGAAGTAGGTGACGGTGGCGTAGCACACCCTGGCGTGCTCAGGGCTGGACCTAGCCGAGTCGTATGCAGAGTCTGACCGAGCACTGCCGCTGTTGGATTCATTCGTGCCATAGCTCTCCAGGCTGTCGATCCTCGAGCTGTTGTAACTGTTGTAGCTGCTGTAGTAGGAGTTGTTCTCGTACGAGTCGCTGGAGATGTGCAGAGGTGGGAGAGAGGCTCTGCACGCGCAGAAGCGCTGGATGTCGATGTCTGAACGCGCGTCCACCGTGCCGCTGTACGACGGGGAGCGGGACAGCTCCGGGGAGATGCGGTTCCGTGTGTTTTTACGGCTCTTGTTCCGCTTGAACAATTTGAAGGCCTGCAAAGAGAGATATGGGTTAGTTTCAAATTAACAAAACATCATACTCGTACTTACAAAGGGACGCATAATTAGAACTGGGCATAATCAAAGATAACATAAATTAACATTAATGCGTAATTCTCATTCGTCGACATGTATGGCTGATCAATAACAGGCCTACTTATACGTCGTGTGCCTAAAATGATACTTATAAAATTCAACCTGCGTACTTAATGAGCCCTATATATATATGTACAATTACCGACCAAAAGCGGCGACATAACAGACGGCGCCCACTTTATGTATCTACGAGCTATCACAAGTTATCGCGTATTAATGGAGACTACAAATAAAGTGTGACCTTCATAATAATGAGTACATCACCAGTCCATCATGATATCATCTGTGAAGGTTTTACAGACACTCCTATCAAACTACAAAAAACATTTCACACATACAATCTCCTTCTCTTTACACAAAATAAAAACTGACATCATTCCCAACAGATTCTCATTAAGATGAAAAAATATACAAGTTACATAAACCAAACACTAATTAATATTGTTTTAGTTGGCAGTGTAATCACCGGCTTAAACTAATTAATTAGCGAGAGCTGAGAGCAGGCCGGTGCCGGTGCCGGTGCCGATAAGCAGATCAATTTAGATTCAATGGCCGTAGAGACAACAGGCGTATAATGAACAAACCCTAGGGAAGGTATCAACGTATAGATACATCTACTTTTGCCCAGTCACGTTAGTCCCATGATAGAAAGGCCTATTATCTTATAACATAGTTACTGTTACTAATTTAGGATATATTGTAAAGATCCGACGTTGGAGTCAACGACCTTGTGTTCACGTTGCAAAGTCAACATGAGTTTGCGAATGATAAATTAATAAGACAATCCACAAATACCATGAATATCTTCAATATACATTGTACGTAATGTACCTTATATTTCCAAAAGAAAAGGATTGAAGTAGCATTTTGAATATAAGTCTTTAATTTTATATTCCCTAAAATAAGAATGTTAATTTCGTTGGTAGTAGTTTCTTTTTTAGTAACTAAAACTTTATTGTTCTCGTTCATTTTTGTATGTATCTATAGTTTTTATTATCACTTAAGTAATTAAATGTTGGTTAACCTATAATTGGCGACTGTATAAGCCTAAATATGTTACTTTCATATCACGTAATGCTATGTATACAGAAGCTGTCGGTATACCTATTTAAATGTATAAAATAAATAAATAAATTACGTTTATTTTAAAGAGGAAAAGGAAGATATTATACAAAATTACAAATACAAAATTTTTTTTTATTTCTGAACCAAATATTTTTTTAACAATAGATTGTGATTGGAGCCTCCTTTTAGGTAAATAATGCCTGTATTAGGAGACTCCGCTCTTCCATAACATAACAATATTTCAAAAGTTTTTGGTTTTTACAATTACCAGTTTATTGACTTATATAAATAGATTTATGTGTAAGGGGTGTATGTGAGTGTGGGGTGTATGTGTGTGTGAGGTGCGCGTATCTGTGTGTGTGGCGTGTGTGTCGTGGTGTATCTGCGAGGGTGTGTGAGGGATGGTTATTTTACGTGTTGCAGCAGGGCTTCCGTACTTTCGTATGTTAGATTTTTTATCCATTCGATTAGCAATTTCTTACATTCGTGTAGTTGTTTAGTGTATATGTATATTTCTTTGTTTACCTTATTATATATTTGTGCAGAGCGTTTATTGTATTGTATAGCAGCAAGTTTAGTTTTAGTTTGTGGAACTTGTGCAATCATATCTTTACGTCTCTTTGATAATATTTTACTGTCATAAAAAACAGTTTTGTGTTTTTTTAAAATCAGTTGTGTGATGTACAATTTCCTAACAGAGAGTAAACCACTTATCTGATAAATACTTTCAGTAGGGTGCCTCCTACTTTTAAAATACATAATTTTAATGAGTGCTCGTTGTCCTCGTTCCACCTCTATAAATTTGGTTTTTGCTGCACCGCCCCATATCGGTATACAGTATGTTATGATGGATTGTGCAAGGGCGATGTAAATTTCGTTTAAGAGATTTCTGTATTGGCCGGTTTTTTTATTTGTAATGGTTGGAACGACGTGTCTCAATGTTTTGAATATCCAACATAATTTCCTTATTCTATGAGTTACGTGTTCGATATGGAAATACCAAGACAACTGTTGATCAATTATGACACCTAAATATTTTGTCTGAGATACTTTACCAATTAGAGGACATGTACAATCATTATTAGCGGTTTTCTGCTTACATGAATGCACTTTAATACTGAAGTCTTCATTTGGTTGTGAACGCTTTGAAGCAGAGAAACAGATATAGTTAGTTTTAGTTGCGTTCAAAGTTAATAAATTATTATTTAGCCAGTTAGCGATCTTAGTCATACCCTTCTCAGCTTTAAGCTGAACTTCAGGCCAGTTATCTCCAGAAAATACAACAGCGGTATCATCAGCGTACGAAAAAATGCTAGCGTTATCGACTTTTAAGGTACAGAGGTCGTTAATATACATTAAAAAGAGTGTAGGGCCCAAAACGCTACCCTGAGGCACGCCAAATGAGACGTCTGCATTATCACTGAGATATGTACCTATCTTAACTCTCTGCCGTCTCTCTGATAGGTAATCTTTAAGGAGATTATGTAATGTCACATTCTACACTTGTGTTCATGACCACTTAATTAAAGAAGAAGTTTTTAAAATGTTATACCCCAGGTCCAACAACTTACTAGGAGACTAAGACAGGCAGTTATTTGAAATACCTTGTTGTACCCAGGCACACATACGTAGGCACCACATTATGATAATGGCACAGTCGTTACCCCCACAATTAGCCGAAGTAAGTCAACGTAATGATCATACATTACAAGTCACTGCTCGCTGCTACTAGGGGAAGCCAAGGTGTGACTGCTCATGTTGAAACTGGGACATATTTGAGATTCATGAACATAGTGATATGTTAAACTAGGTTGACTTGTTGCTAAGCTATCATTCTACATTGTTACATACCTTTATGATTTTGAATTAATGAAATTCGTATCATAGGACAAAGCCAAGTTATTTACTCCAATGAGTACAAAAAGGTACGTTTGAATGTCAAATGCTTAATTAAAATTTTGTTTGTCTGCTAGTACATTCAAGAAGCTATTTGATCGTTCCAAAATTTAGAGTTTTAGGGAGCAGGTTACTGGTAAAGAACTTATTAGGTCAGGTGATCTATCTGCTCGGTTGCTACCTTATGCCATAGAATGGGGGCTACCGTATCACCAATTGGTGCAAATGTCTGAAGAGGTATTTTTGTCCAATCACAATAGCTGTCAAATATTGAACGTCCAGCGGTGTGGCACTAGCTAATCCCCTATTGGACGAAGAACGAGAGGTTTACAATAGTGGTAATTGGTGAGCAAAACTACAGTAGGCCCCATTGCATTAACTCGTCGAGTACCGTCGATACAGACACAATTATAGAACAATAGGTTGCGGTCACCGGTGACCGCTTGGTGTTTGACAGTTTAATATTGTATTAGTTACTACACAGTACACACATACATACTTTTCATAGTTATAAAGTAAACTACACATGATCATTAACTACAAAACAATACATCCAATTTATGAACCATCATTTCGAACGGCCGATAACATTCAACGTACATAAGCCGCTACGTACTACCCACGAGTATTATATCATAACCATGTAATACGTGTGTCGGCCCGGGGGGTGAACCCGTGCGAGGACACTGACAGTCCACACGTGTCTGTTATTCAGAACTCATCTTCATATAGAGGTCCTTTTAATCGCAAAAAATATCAATTGTGTCTTTTAGTACAACGTAGTTTGGACAACCCTGGTATTGCTCTTGGTCGTGTGGTTGCGGTTGAGAAGATTACAATAATTGTCAAAAACCCAACGCTTCCCGCCGGTTTCGTAAGAAGTATTTTATTTAACAGAGGTCGGACAGCAGAGTTCTTTGATAAAGCTGATCATTTTAATCTAAGATACCCAAACCCCCAACCCAATTATTTTTTATGATAAACCGGTAAACGAGCACACAGATCACCTGATGGTAAAAGATCGGCGGCGCCCATGGACACCTGAAACACCGGAGGTGTTACAAGTGCGTTACCGGTCTTCTGGGAATTGGGAATTTGAGGATTGTGGTGGTTTCGGGAATGTTGATGTGTATGTAGGGAGACTTGGAAGGGGGGGGTGTAATTGGGCCTTTTATTTAATTATGGCTCTTCGTGTGTAGAGGACACCTCTAGTTCAGTGGATGTTAATGAATGATGAAAACTGGCCTTGTTATATCTTTTTTTCACCAGGACCAAGATGGCCGCTACATCTAAAAGTAGATCCTAGGTAACAAATTCCACAATTACTAGACCAGGTCAGTCATAACTAATTAAAAGATAGCCTAGAATGTGGGACGGTATAAAATTAATTATTTAATGCTCGTAATAGATAGATAATTAAATTAGGGCAATCGGCTATCGCTTAGAGATGGGTATAATATTTGTCTCTGATAAAAGGACTTAGTTAATGGAATTAAGAGCTATGGAAAATATCTTCATGGCTATAAAAAAGCCATTGTTATTGCGGCACTCAAGAAAACACTAAGACATAAAAGGTATTTTCTGATATCTTAAAATTGTGACATTATCATACGAAATCTAGCAAACATGTCTTCGTAAAAGTTACTTTATTTAAATATAATGATAATAATAATGCCAGAACTAGATTTTTCTTGTAAATTAAATACTAGATACGATGCTTATGATTTAAAAAAAATGTTTCCGCACATTAGGATTTTCTCCTGTGTGGTGGGTGCGTTTACAAACAAAAATTCACATACACATGACACCCAGACCCGAAACTATCATTTGTGGATCACACAAAGTGTTGTTCTGTGTGGGAATCGAACCCGGCACGCTGCCTGGCAGCCGATTGCCCAGGCAATTTTAGGTAAATAATTACTTTTTTATTATATTAT